GCAGCAAATACGCAAAAGACCATTTTCAGTGTCACAAGGAACTTCTCCCTACAAGCCGGGACATGAGCAACCTCCTATTAATAGACACCTACATACAGTAGCACTGAGTGGCCTCAGTCAGAAGGGAGCTGTTGCCTCTAAGACTTAACACAAGGAGAAGGCAGGCTGCATCCAATATTCCTCATTGTAAAGATTTATCTTACTGCAGTTTCTACAGTCATTGCCACTGGATTAAAATTTTCAGCCTGAAACGATGCTGTGGATGGCATTATGATCTGCAAACTGGAGGCACCTAAGTTATCTTCTGTAATGAGTATCAAATAGAGCCTATTAATTCCTGCAACTGATCACCTGCACTTAAGAGCACACAAGTGATCTGGCATTACTGCAATTATTCTTCAAGAAATCCTGTCACGCTCTGAAATACTACCAAGAGGAATTAGATGATGAGCTTTTCAGGCAGACATTTTTCAGCTCTTGTCTTCCCGTAAGCGAAATCTGCAACTTAACTCCTGCCAAAACTAAAATTTTACACTTAACAGAAGGGACAGTGTACGTTGTTGTCTGCATTTCTCTCTGTTATTTAAGATTCAGCAAAGCATGCTTACATATGAGTAATGTAACATATTTAAGCACATGTCGAAGTGTTTTGCTGAATCAAGGCCTAAAAGAGGTTCCACTGGTGTTAGGGCTGAGAGAGGATTTGAATCTACATTTAAAAACCATCTTAACAAGCTTCAGTTGTTTCCTCTAAGAGATTGTGGCTAAAGATCTACATTGAACTATTTGATCCCAAGGAAACAAGATTGCTTTGGCTTTTACATTATCTGAAGAAAATTATCTGACCTCTGGAAAAAAGCTATTTGAGGAGCATGCCTTTTTGCAGAAGGCAATAGGGGTTTACAGAGAGACATAACAAAAATTAACTGACAGAGCAAAGTTCTGAGATGCTGAACGTGCTCAGTTATGGGAGCAAGGCTCAACTATCCAAAGCCCACTGAACACATTAAAGAAGCAGAAATGCAGCACTGTATTTTAAAACATAAAATGTGCCTGCTAGGTAGGTCATTTAGTTTTCCTTTCCATTCTTCTTCTGACTTCAGCTCACTGACAAGATTTCCTTTTTTTTTTTTTTTGCAGAGACCCTGTACAACTCCAAATCAATATATTACTGAGTTTTATCCCAAAGTTGCCAGAACCTAGGAAGACAATGAAGAGATTTACCATCTGCCCATTCTACTAAAATGTCTAAAGGGGACAGAAGCCTCCTGTTTATTTACTGTATCTCTGAAATATTTCCTCATCTTTCTGAGTTCATGTTCTCAAGAGCTAACGACCGTCACTTCAGAAGAGCCCTGAGAATCCATCCTTGCGTCCTCACACTTCTATATTAGCAAGGCTGGAGTCCTCACAGAGGTGCCTGCATCTGTGAGCATATTTAGATTTTCCTCTTAATTACAAGCAACACAAACCCTCCAGCAATGGTGTGATATATGACAGTGGGAATCAAAAAGGGCAGCACTGGGGCAAGCACCGTATGCTCCCTCAAATGCACAGGATGGCCCATTCTGCCACGTGCTGCCCTTTTCAACCAGGGCACCCTGACAGATAGCACTTGTCACTGAAACCAGTGTTGAGCTCAAAAGAAGTGCCTAAGAAAGGACTCTGACTCGGGCAGAATTTCCTACTGAGGGTCTCTTCTCACTTCTCTGCATAACTGCACTTGTCTTTGCTGAGCTGAAAATACTCACTGCCGAGTGCTGAAACAAGGCCCTTGGAGGCTCCATCACTCATTATCACATTTCAGCCTGAGTGGTCTCCAAACCACAATTTTCTTCAAGGGTTTGAAATTTTTTTATTATTATTATTTTTTAATTATAGCTGGTTAAATATTGGGCCTTTATCTAAATCAGATGTCTTCAGGTACAGAATGTTTCTTCTTTGGTTACTGCCTTCTACTTCTAGATTCATCATACTGAAAGTAAGACTGATAACTGCTGGAGGAGAGTTTGGATCATTCTTGTTATTTGGGAAAAAAGAGGGAAAAAAGAAAGGCAAGCCTGTGCTCTTACTCTATCTCAGATTTCTAAGTATACATAGGAACTAGTGCATAGGAACTGTTTTAGGCAGAGAGTACTAACATACTTCTCCACTCTCCTGTCAAAGGGTCAGAAGGAGCATTAGTCCATGTGCTGTGACCTCTTGCCTAACAAAGGTCATTAATGATCACCCAGTTACCTATGTACTGCATCTAAAAGCTTGGCTCAACTTAAAACACTTTCCAAAGGGGCATTTGGTCTTAATTTGAAAACAAAGAAGAATAGAGAATCTGCCACTTCTCTTGCTATTTCATTCCAGCAGATAATAATCCTCATTGCATTAAAACTGTCTTTGATTTCCTATTTTAATTGTGTACTTCAGCCTCCAGAAAAGATCTCTCTTGTGTTTGTCTCTAGTACGTATGAGACCACTTTCTAATGCTGTTTTCTGGTAAAAGTATTTACGAGCTCCAGCCACACGTCCCTCCCATGATTTCTGATACCCAAAATACACTGGGCTCTCGCGATTAGCTTTCCTCCAGCCTTTAAGCATCTATGTAACTCCTTTCAGACCCTCTCCAATTTTTCCTCATCTCTTTAAAGGTGGGCACCAAAACTAGAGCGCACAATTCTTACCTGGGTCCCACTAATGTCACATTGAAGGTAAAATGAATTCCCTGTTCATAAACTGCAGTACTGTGAAAAGTTTGTGTTTGGTTGCTTGTACAACAGGTCCTGTAAAGCCTTTTCAGCAGCACAATCCAGGATGCAATTCCCACAGATGGGATCTGCATGCCTCATTCCCAAGGTCTGGATCTACTGGCATTGTCCTGAATCACTCCGGTTTTCTCAAGGACCGCACAGCCCCAAATAAAGTGGGAAACCAAAGAGTTAATGTAACACCCCCTTTCCAGCTATGCTCATTTTGATACTATTTTGGAGCAGCGTTGAGAGTCTGCTTTTGACTCACAGTTGCATGTAGCTGAACCTAAGCTTTGATCAAGTTTTTCACCTGCACTCAGCACTACTGCCACATCAGCAGCACATCCACCTTTTCAGTGCCTAGCGTAAGAAAGTCCCCACACATTCCCCTTTCAATGAGATTGTATCAGAGGTTGCAGACAGAAGGAAATCCAAGCCCTTCTTGCAAAACATCCTAGCAGATAGCTGGGCCCTCCAGCCCATGAGCAGTACAGCTAGAAGCTCAGAAGACAACCTGGAGCACCATTTCCTCGTGCATGTGCATGACTCATGGAAAGCTGTGTGAATCACAAAATTCCACCAGCACTGTAGGGTGGGGCAAAACTACACTCCCAATGGACATGTCTCAAGTCGCCCTATGGTAGACGTACACTGGCCACACACACCTCACCAGGACAGTCAGAAAAGCTTGTTCTGCTTTTGAATAATTACGCTGGGTTTGTATTTTGCTGTTAAAATACGTTCCTCGGCTCTTATACATTCTTCTGAGGAATATAGTGACCTGTGTACAGACCCCTGTGGTAGCAAACACACATCCTGACTACTTAAAAAAAAAAAATACAAAAAACACGCCTGCCCCAGAGAGGAAGCTGGAATTCACCCATGCAATTAGGTTAGGTTAATGTTGGCGATGAGTGGATAGATATTATCCAATATCATATTTTGTAATCCTCTGCTAAACAGGATGCTGTTCACTTTGGGAGCCAACAAAATAGCTACTCGTTCACTGTCAGACTCGAGCAAAGTCGAGAGCTACCCCTGAAGGTTTGAGATGAGTTTATTCTAGAACCTGGTAATGGTCCAGAGTAATTTATAAAGGTCACCAAATTCTACATTCAGGTTGTAGGTTTCTTTAAACCAGTATTTATCTCTACAAATCTCAGGACAAAAGACAACACTTCTCCTGTCACAAGTGAACTTTACAATGGTCTTTTCATTATCAACTTATTTGGTTCTGTGCCAATAATCTTTTACTCTTTTTCTAATCCTTAATTAATCCTTTTTATAAACAATTTACACTCGGCATATTCTGCTGAGAGTAAATCTTTTGCTGTGTATATGTATCATAACGAGATCTTCAACATCCAGGCAAATATTTTCATATATTAGGAATGTAAATAAACATGTGGGTATATCAAGAAAAATTACCTGACTCCTGAAAATTGAGCTCTCATACTTCCCTTGAACTCGGTGGGAATTTGTGAGCTCTCAGCAGTTACAGACAAGACACTGAGGAAGTTTCCAACTTAAGTTCATGATGCTTGACTTAAGGCAAACACTTCTTAAAGTGCTGCCCTGAATTTTCCAAGTCCTGTTTCCCCTAGCAAAGCCATGACTTCCCCAAATCACATACAGAACGCATCACTTCCAGATGCGTTCAGATTGAAAGAGAAACCTAAAAAGGTCCTGAGAACGGCAAGGTGGAGACAGTGATTTATCTGTAAGTTTTCCTCTACAAAAATAAAATATTGTAATAGCTTAAGGTGTTTCAACATGCAGTTTCTATTTGTTCTTACCACACTCAAACATAAGAGAACAATTTTTGAACATTATGTATATACAGAAATGACAAATATACATGCTTGGCTAGAGTTGCATTTGCAAATAGAAAGTGAGGGAAAATATGTTTTTTGCTGCACAAGTTTTATCGTTTTTCTGTAAAAATGATAAATGCACATTACAGTTCCATAAACACACGTGACTTAAAGTATGTAGTGCTTGTAACAGCCAGGTTGAAGCCATTTTGTAAATGCAGCCCTTAAAACTACCAAATACCACTTTTCTGGGCTGTTGCTTAAGAAAACACTATTGAACACTTACAGATGGCAAATAAAAAACAACTTTTGAAGCTGGAGTCTTGCATGGTAATTTTGCCTCAGGAAGCAGGCAAGACGAGGTCTCACTTTGTACACTGGTTGCTACAGGAGTATGTATTACAAAAGGAAGCCACTTAATAAGGCTACGGTAGATCTGACTTACCACAAGAGCAGCACGTGAAGCAGTTGGTATGATAGAGGTTACCCATTGCTTGGCAAGCCTGGCTCGCTCCATACACACCTTTTCCACATTTTATACAAATACCTACAAAGCAGAAAGAGAATGAAAGTTAGAATCCTCCACAGCTCCTAAAACCAGCTCCGGGCCGTTGATTCGTAGCACTCATGATACCCCTTAAATCAATGAGCTCCTCACCCTGAATAGATTCAACTATGCAAGACAGCAGCAGGCAGCTTTAGTGAAACAAATGCATGGAAATTAACCCAAAATAAAAGGAGGGGGGAGGCCTCTGCTGGTGTTTCAATGCATGGAGACTGAGGCTGGCTAAAGACAGAAATCCAAAGGAGACAGGCGCGATGAGAGGACAGAAAATCTGTGCACTCCCTGGAAATAACTCTGTTTGCCCAAGAAATAATTTAGTGAGACCTTCACAACTAGGTGCTCCACCACATTACATTCAATAATCACTAATAAAATAACAATTCAGTCCAAAACCGAAAGACTTCTCTTTGCCATCTCCAGCAATGCAACATCAACAGTGTTGGTCCATGGTAGAAGCCATGCAGTACCAGGAAAATGGGTCTGTCAGTCACATTTAATAATATTTTAGCTTTCCATGAATAGTAGTATGTAACCTCATAAACATAACCTGGCATCTTACAAAACAGAAGAGCAAGGCTTCTACCTCCCTTATGGTCTAAGGGCAAAAATTCTGGCTGGCAGTTTTGCTTCAGTGGGGTCAGAAATTCACCTTCGCTGCCCGAGCTTGCTCTTGGTGATGCCAGGGACAACTCTCATGAAGTCTGCATGAGACCAAAGTACGAAGAGCCAATGTAGCACTAGCAAAGTCAGCAGTTAGCTCCACACATGGCAGACTCACAGGAAAGGTCACGATTTCAATAAGCTCTACAAAGAGGGTTTTTTGGGGTGGTTTTTTGTTTGTTTTTAAAAAGTTTTTTCCTCATAGTTATAGCTTTAAGAGTCTTTTGCCTATGCATTTATTTCTATCTATGCATAACCTCCCTATATTCAAACCAGGGCAAGGAGAGAATTCAAGAATCACTTTGCTTCTGTATCCCCATGAAGAGGCAACAAAATGCTGGAGAATCCATGTCCTTCTGTCATACACTCAGGACCATTGATTTTAAGTTTTTCTGAGATGTCCATTGGTCTGCATTCGATTGTAGCAGTACAGTACATCTCAAGACAAGGCTGTGTGATCTTTAAAACACTACAGTAGAAAATAAAAATTGAGATTTTTGCCTCATACAACTCTATAATGAAGCTGCTGTGCTCCATGTGCTGTTTGAGGCCCTATTTCTACAAATGCACGCACAAGCTTAGCGTTAATCATTAGCATCAACAAAACTGCTAATATACTTAAGAGTATAGGAACTCGAGAACTACAAAATTGGGCTTTAATCATCCAGAATTCTCCCCTGCTGTGCTGTGAACATTTTATACACAGAAACACACAGAAAATACAAATATCAAGTGGGGGGGGGGGGGTGGGGGGGGTGGGGGGAATTAGCGTATTGTGAACCAGTAGAAGCTTTAATAGCAGAAAGAACAAAGTTAAGCTAACAAAGCGCTTGGTGTCTCAGTTCAGTTTCCGTGGGTTTTGCTTTTATTCACTCCCAGTATATGAACTGGCCTAAGCTGCTGGGCCACAGAGACAGAAATGCCGTCTGCCCCTGGCAGGTAGCTGTATGGACATGAGTACCCAGTAATACAGCTGAGACTTCACCCAGGCTCTCAACGAGGAAACAGTGGTAGACAACACAATGCACATGAATATCTCTGCCCCCCACCCCCCTAAGCTATTCAAGACACATTTTAAACCCCATTTCTGAAATCAAACTGTTTCAGATCAGTGCAGCATTAACACAGCCACCTACAAGGGCTGTGTAGTGTGATCGGTTTAAATGGGATTCTGTCAAGTTACAAAAAATTATATTTGAAGGAAAAAAAAAATCTTTCTATGCTACTAATATTCAGATACTGAAATGGAAAGACCTTTCATAAATCATGGGTTTCTTGGTGTTTATACCTTTAACTCCCTCATTTCAAATCATGAAAAGAGATTAGCCTTTCATTCAACTAGCTCAACATCCTGGCACAATGTTGCCATTTTGGACCATGAGCACATTTGCCAAATGAAACAATTTTAAAAAACAATAGATCTATTAATTTTATTTTTTTTTTTTAAATCCTAAACATGATTTCAGTGTTCCAGTGAAGCAGGAACTATAACATTATCAGATACCAATGTCCCAAGCTAAACCCATGATACAAACTAGCTGCCAGCTAGGTCCATCAGTTCATTGCAAATGAAGTATTAAGAAAATGCTGGTCCTTAGGCTAGCTCAGCTCTGGTATAGGAAATGGGAATTTCAGAATATTTGTTGCTTTATCCAAGGCTGTTACGTCTATTTATTTATTTGTAACCAAAGGTTATGACAAAGGTCTGCTATTCGCCATGAGTTAATGGTTAACTGCTGATGAAAGATAGTTATTGATTACTGTGGACACTGTGATCAGAAGAAGCATCCCATCAGCCAGCACCTGGAAGAATTGCTCCCAGCAGCAGCACAGCATCCACAAGCCTGCTCTCTGTCTCATCACATACCATGAGCTCTGCAATAACCCTGGTCCCTCCCAGCCCTGGGGCAGGAGGGGTTGTACATGCAGCAGAGAACGTGGGGCTCACAGAAGAAATGAGCAATCTCTTACTTCAGCGTCAGATCTTGGTATGATGTTTCAGTTCGCTCTTGGCAGTGGAGCCAGAAGAGAGCCCCTTCAGAGCTCCCCAGCTATCTGCACCCTTCTTGCCCGTCTTTCCATGCACACCATGTACCTGGGACTGGCAGCTATTGATAGTCTGTCTGACTGTGAGGTTACACAGAGACCTACCTTTTCCCATTTACGCTTAGTATTACTCAAAGAGGAGAAGAAATCCAGTCTGTAATTCTCTGGCATTTCTGTCTGTGAGCTCTCATGCACAAATCTACTACAGCCATGAACTGTTTGATAAATGAAGTTATTGTCTCACTTCTTTGCCATTGCTCCACTGAACCATCAGAAGCAAAAGAAGGATTTATTGTGGATGTTAAACTTACATTGGCCTCTGTCCTGGTTTCGGCAGGAATAGAGTTAATTTCCTTCCTAGTAGCTGGTACAGGGCTGTGTTTTGGATTTAGTATGAGGATAATGTTGGTAACACACGGATGTTTTAGTTGTTGCTAGCTAGTGCTTACACTAGTCAAGGACTTTTCAGCTTCCCATGCTCTACCGACTGAGAAGGCTGGAGGTGCACAAGAAGCTGGGAGGGGGCACAGCCAGGACAGCTGACCCAAACTGGCCAAAGGGACATTCCATACCATGGGACGTCATGCTCAGTACATAAACTGGGGGAAAGGTGGCCGGGGGGGGGTCACTGCTCAGGGACTGGCTGGGCATCGGTCGGCAGGTGGTGAGCAACTGCATTGTGCATCACTTGCTTTGTATATTATTATTATATTTGAATTATTAAACTGTTTTTATCTCAACCCATGAGTTTTCTCACTTTTACTCTTCCAATTCTCTCTCCATCCCACTGGGCGGGGGGCCGGGGAGTGAGTGAGCAGCTGTGTGGTACTCAGTTGCTGACTGAGGTTAAACCACAACAGCCTCCCCAGCAAGTGATTCGTTATAAGCAGCTGTCAGTTTGTTAACTCATTTTCTCTGAGAGACTAGTCATCAACTCCAGGAATGAATGACCACAGAGACAATTAGCATATTTAAAAAGCGCATGTATAATTCCGAAAGTGTACTTTGGAAAAATATATATGCAGCTGTGGTATGAGTATAGTGTGAGCTCATAACTGCCTAGGAAGAGCACTGATTACATGGCCATTCAGGTCTGGTTTTCCACCAGTCACAGCCCAAACTGCACACTGCAAGCTTGTGAAAGCCTTGACATAACGGCTACATCACCTTTTTTTTTTTTCCATATTTAATTCCAAAGCTTGTTAAACGGCCTATGAAGAATGTTCTGTTACAGAGCAAGCATGTCTTGTTCCTGACACTTCACTTGACATGACTTCAGATCAACTGCTTCAGCCTTTATACAATTCCTTGCCCCTCCCGACACCTCTATTCTAAGCGGCCAACTGTGCCTCCAGTTCTTTAACACATCTACTGTTACATTTCCACCCAGGTCATCACCTCTCCTACAGATCTGGCGTCTCTCTTTAGCTAGAAAAAGATGTTATAAGATGTTGCATATACCCAAAGTTTGCATAAAGGTTGGCTGAGCGGAGCACAGCATCACAGCATTCCTTCACTGCAGTGAAGAGATGTTTGCATCCTGACATAGTGTTTAACCAAACATGAGAGTAGAGACTGAACAGACACACTCTGTGGACCACAGCAAATGACCACCAACAAAAAATGACACTAGAAAGAGAAGGAGCTCCCAGAGACTCCCTGCTGGAGTTAGCTACAGCACATTGCCAGTGCTCCCCACACCTTTAACCAGTCCACTTCACTGAGCTTGACCATGTCAGTCAGAAGGACATCCCTGGACCCAACCAGGCAAGCCTCTAGCACTGTAGGGCAACACAACCGTCAGAAGCATGAAGCTGAGCAACTCATGCATTAGCAAAATGCTAATATCAGCATCAGGAGAAAATAAGACAGGTATTTTCTGATGTAGTCAGTTGTTTTGCTCCAGGCTCAAGAAACCAAATGCAATGCATTATAACAAGCAAAGTTTACCAGCAACAACCTAGAGAAGATATTAAAGCTATACGATTTTTGTTCAGCCTGCTGTAACATACTCGTAAGAGTTCCCTGTAGTAGCCTACACATTAGAAGTTCCGTTTGGGACCTATACATCAAATCTTGGGATGCTCTTTTGACCATGCCAGTACAGGCTAGTACTTCAAACAGACTTCACCAGATACCCAGATTTGGGAAAAAGGCAATAGGCAAAGGTTAAACACAGTACGTATAACAGCAGATATATAACCACCTTTTGGACAAGCTTTGTCCTCAGACACGTGTGGAACTCCGCCTGTGCCTGATGCCATCCTCACTTAACC